TATTTTATGTTAACATTGTTTGCATACGTGGCTCACTATGGGAGGTGGTTAGAACTTTACCTTTTTTTAATGTGAATGTATCCTGGGGAGCGAGTGTGCCAGGCCTACTGCCATTTGACTAGGACTAACACATCTACTGCATGTTTTATAGGAGAAGGTAGTCAAAGCAAGAGTGCTAGGATTTTTTCTTTCTTTTTTTCCAAAGGTTCCTAATATATAAATCCACAAGGGGAAGAAAGGGAGAGTTAGAATCTATTTGTTAGGGAAGTAATTTACAGGAACTAATTTCTGTACCAGTAATGGGAGACAGCCTGGACTGAGTGAGGGAGCACAGACGGTGCTCGTTGATCCGCATGAGAAGGACGAGGCAGGGAACAGGAACCAGCCTGCAGTGGCTCTGTGAGGTTGCTCTGTGCACTGCCACAGATAAAGCAAGTTATTTTAGAGTAAGTACTAAGCCTAAGTAATCTACGGGAATGAGGCTCTAGGATAAGAGTGTCCTAAGCAATTAGTGAGCGAGGCCTGTTGGTGCTGATCCAGGTCACGCAATTCAGTTCTGTAAGAAAATGAACTCCCAGGTAGTCCTGCTGCTGGAGGTACAGCAGTGATGCAGGTGGAGAGCAGCTCTGTGTTAGACTGTTGGTGTGGTGCAGCTGGAACAAGAGCTGTTCCAAGGGTCAGTGGGAAGGGGAAGGAAAGGTTTGCTCCTGGCACAAATGATGCTGAGCTGGGTGCTGAGCTCTGTGTCTGTGGCGTTCCCAGTGACAGCAGCCGGGTGAGCCCGGGCGTGTGCTCACCATTAGGTGGTGGTCTAGAACAACAGGGAAAAAAACTGCAGGTTGAGATTTTCAGAGCAGCACTACAAACTCAACTGCAACTCTTCAGCGTAATGAGGGCTGTTTTTTCGGTGGAGATTACTGAAAGGATATATTTTACCTTTAACTGTTTGTCTTCCCCCTGTTGTGGCATGTGCCACATCCTCATGTGCACCATCTCTTGACACATGCAACAGCAAAACCACTCACATCCTAAATTCTGTCAAAACTTTATAGTCTCCTCTTCTTGTCCTGTTTTAACACATCTGCTGAAAGAATTACGCCCTGAAGACACTGAAGGACAGAGGTATGTGCTTTCCCAGTGTAGAGAGCTCTGCGAGGTCTGGAATTACTGCAGTGGTCTGGGACACAGGGAGCAATTTCCATTTCAGTTTATAAATTGCCTGTTAACCTGAATCTAGGTATTGGCTAGAACTGGTGTTTAGGAACTGGAAGTAGTGGACAAGTTGGGAAGAAGCTAAAAGTCATAGAAGTGATGCTTTGATGAAACTACCAAAGCACGATGTTGCTGATTTAAAACTAGTTTTATACCCTTTTTTTTTATCTCTTTCATAGCATGAACATTTTCAAATGTTTGAATACAGAAGTCATCCCTCACGGTCATATAGCACTGATCCTGTGCCTTTCTGCCTATGGTGACAGCAGGTAGTCTCCAATCTTAATGGAACCACTTTTTTTAAAGGCATGTCTTCAAATCTAGCCCAAGTTCAGATGTTTTCCATACTGTTTTGGAACTACAATTGCATAGGTATTTGAGTGATGTAGTTGCTTACCTTGCTGTTGTCAAGCCTGTGCTATCAGTAGCTAAAGAGCACTGTTAGTGTTACACAACATGCAGGCTGTTACTGATTTTCTGCTAATGAGATGCAATTAAAAGGAATAGAGAAACATTATTTTTCTCTGGGTTCCACTGTGATTTACATTTTCCTAGTGTCTGTTCAAACAATTCAGTCCTATTCAGTGCTAACAAGCCTCTGCTGATCGCAGTGCTGAACAGTAAACATGAATTATTTCAGTACCATTCAGCCAGAGATGATGCTTAGTCTGTCAGGTGTTAATTTTAAATCCCCATCTCACTTTTTTAGACCTCTGCTGTAAAAGCAGCTATGGGCTACAGCTCATGGTTTTTATGGCAGAGTTGTCAGTGCTGTGACCAGCATTTTTTGGGTTCTGTAGAAGACGGGTTTGATGAGAGATGTGAGGCATTGACAACAATCCTTTCATCAACACTGTCTCAGGTCTTCAGGGATTATCAACCACTGGCACTGATAAAGATAAAATCCTTTTCACTACAGTCTGTAGACTTCCTTTCCTTTCATTTGTGATTTTTGGTGCATTGCCAGTGTAAATCAGTCTGTAGCTGTCAGTAATACTTGTCTGGTTGATGTTCTCATGATGGTTTGAAGCTGGAACTGAAGTGAGGCAGACAGACCAATTATTAAGAGCAAACATCATCCATCTGCCGCTGCTCCGGCATAAAGCTGCTGTTCACTTCTCTTGTTTCTGGGAGATGCTATTTACAGGGATGTCCCAATAAGAATTTTTTTCTTAAGGTACTTTAATTTTCTGTCATATGTTTGTTGTAAAGATGCTTGCAAAAAAAGCAAAGCCATATTAATGCAAAATTTTATTAAAGTATCAAAACCCAAAATCCTTTTGGAAGT